AAAATAAAAATTAATAATTCGACCGTTATACAATGAGTGGGCCCCACTTTGGCAGCCATGTTTGACCTTGTTATCTACAGTCAATTAAAAAATTTGGTAAAAAGACCATAATGCCCATAACTTGTTGCATTCAATTTTCATAAATTAGACAATTTTGACATTTCAAACTAAAAAAACGACGGCCATTCATTTTTCAAATATTACAGCTGAATCACTGTTCACCTTATTGTTGCAATGTTTATTTTCCATTAAAATATGGAAGTAATGACTTCCAAACAGGTTGTAAAACTTTTGATAAAATGCTTGTCTGTACTCCAACATATTGGTAACTTACTCATCCTGTGCTTTTGCACTTGATGAGTAACTAAGTAATTTAGGAATCATTTTCGGTATGCCAATCCGATAGCAATTGAGAGCGTGTTTGATTAGAAAATTTTCCATTTTTAAAAATGGCCTTTTTCTACCAAATTTTCAACTTTTAGAATGTTTGATAGCCTTTTTTTTTCATTAAGGGGGGGGGGTGTTGTTTTCCTCAAAACATGAAAAACATTTTCTATTAACTCTTTTCCGATGGAATTTTAATTCTTACCTACATTGCTTACACCGATGATTGACAAGACAATTGATTTAAGCTCTTTTGTTATTAGCTATAGAGCATCTTTGGCTAGGCTTTTAAGTTGGTCAAACTATAGGCCATCAAAACACCCAAGAATTACCAATTTACTATACTTTCTCAACATTTACCATTGGACCAATGAAATTCATTTAAAGACACAAGTGGAAATGTCGTGAAAACATATATAACATTCAAAGTGTTTGACAATGAGCTCCATGATTGCGAGCTGCTTGCATTTCTTCCTTTTAATCATGAAGATAAACATAAAATCATTTGAACATGGGAAGTGCATTCAAATTAAAATCTATAAATTGATAGGTTGTGATTAGAGAAAACGTCAACACTCAAAACATGAAGTCTTTCATAGATTGAGAAGAAAGGCAGCTGCACAAACATATATAAAAATCGAGTGATTACAAGTGAACAAGGCAAGAGCAGCCACAGCCAAGTTCCTAAGGAAATGATTTGATCTTCACAGAGAATGAGCAAAAGCCAAGAAGTGGGCAATGAATGAGTACCTTTAGTCGGATAAATGCCTTTGTGGCTGTCAATGTCTATTGCTCAAGAAGAAGCCAGAAAGAAAGGTATTTCTTCAATATTATCATTCTATATTATTCGCTTAGTTTGCAGCTGCGTATGTATGGATGATCAGACTTTACATACTTCGTCCAGTATGGCCTGTACTTCGTCATTGCCAACTCTAGCCAGGGTTTCATGTTCCCGTTGTAATGTATAACAGCTGCATTCTCAATTTCTGACCGATCAACGCTTGGACTGTAACCCAACCCAAGAACGTGCCACGACTTATCAAGTGGATGTGTAAGCCCATAAAAAGTCATTAAACCCGGAGGTAGAGTTCCAAGCTTCCACAGAACCCTGTCTTCATTCTAATACCAAGCCAAAAAATAGGGGAAATAAAAGGAACTCAGAATAGTTGACAAGCGTGCTTCATCTTCTAATCCATAAACTATTTTTCAGAAAGGGGATATGGCAACAAGTTTCCCAGCATACCAAATGCATATTTTCACAAACAACACAACCAGAATACAAATCAAAATTACCAAAAAAAAAAAGACGTACCATATTCTGCCATTTGTGGTATATTCCAGTTATATCCTTCTCTTTCCACGCCTTAAGATCAAAAATGTTCATTCCATATGCCCACCCACAAGCATTGGGATCAAAGTTTGAAGAAATATGAGGATTTGAAAAATTAAGGTACTTGTCAAAACGATGAAAGCTCTCGCCACAGGTTTCAACTGCACCGTTCACTTTTCCATGAAGATCTACCAACCACAATCCTGTTAAGTCTTTCTGAACAACAATGTCATCGTCAAGAAAAAGGATTTTATCCAACTTGGGATAAACCTGTGGGAGATAAAACCTCAAGTGATTGAGCATTGAAAGATACTTTGGGTTCCTGTACTTAAGGTTCGATGAACCAGCAGAGAGTGTGGTAGGATGAGCTGACTTGAAGTAGTACTCCTTCATGGCAGCAGACTCCAACTGGCGCAAAACAGGACAATAGGATGAATTAAGCCACTTGAATTCATCAACATTTTCAACATGGATGGTAGCTTTTCCAGGAGGGTTCAGCAGGAACCACATATTCATTGCCCCAAAGTTCAACTTATCAGTAACTAGATGGAAAACATGTTTCTCAGGTTCCTGCAATTCATAAAAGAAGCATATTCAGAAATCTAAGATTTTTTCAATGAAAACACAGAATAATAGTTGCATCAACGCATAAGGCTTGAAGAATCCAAGTTTACTGTTACTAATGGAAGAACCGTTACAAGATAACAAGTTAAAGAATGCCTCTTCTGATAGCAATACCATCAAATCTAAATTAACAAAAAATTCCAACGCAGGGATTGAGGGAAATAATACTTCAGATAGTCTAGCCATTCCTTTCTCATAATATGCACATAGCAGACATGAACGCCAATTTCTGCGATTGGAGCACACAGATAATCATGCATATTCTCAAGCCACTACAAGAAAATAGACCTACAGCATCTGATAACTTGGATTGGAGATAGATTTTATATTGCTTTAGAGATTGCATTGCTAGTATTTTCAGCTTAAAGCCCAATTTTTTTTGAGAAATCAAAGACAAAAATTGACTTCCGCACCTTAGCGTTTGCAATAGTTGAGCTGACCACAACTGAAGCAGCAAGAACATTGTCAGAAAAGAGAGCATAATGGTAAAGATTTGGATTTTCCAGATTCTCACTGCGAGGGAACTTCCTCTTTTCTGGGGGAAGGAGGTAATAATCTATTGTTAAGCGCATGGATAAACAGTGAATTCCATTCGGAATTGTCTTGGCAGCTAGCTGGCTAAGGAATGTGCTTTGCTTTTTTAGACTCCGGACTTGCTCATCTGCAGATTGCAGCATGGCTCTTAGCTGTCCAGTTACAAGCTTGCAATCATACAATTGTTCTCTACTTTTAGACAGCACTTGTCCCATAGCTTTTATTTTTTCAGGTGCACTGTCACACGAATAATGTACATGGAACAGTAAATAAATAAACAAATTTATAAGACAAGTTGGGCATCAGGTGGCTATACATAACACACGAGATAACCAAAAATTTACTACCTGTGATGTAAATCAGAATCAGCAGTTGCCTCTCCTAAAGCACGCTGACTTTCTTTAAGCCGGTTTTGAAGCTCATGGACCAAGTCAAGCTTATTTTTCATTCTTGCAATGCTTATATAAACCCTCGCCATGATTACTTGATCTCGCATCAAGCGTACAGTTGAATCAGAATTTTCATTTTCATTCTCCCTCCTCCATATACTGTACTTCCCCAAGACTGCAGAGTCAACTGACTTGGAACGTTCAATGGCAGCAGCTTCAAGTTTTACTATTACATCGTCATCTTGCTTTACCAAATCAGCAGCACGCTTTTCACGTCTTTTTTCTCTCAATTTCTGTAGAGTGTTTAAACAGATAAAATTGTTAACTCAAAAGATTAGGAAGAAAGGAGTAACGAGGGTTTATTTGTTTACAGTTACAATCAGGAGATGGCTCCTTGTTACCAGAAATGCAAGGGGAAAACAATACAAGTGAATCAGGGTGCTTACCCTTCTCTCCAGTTTAGCAGGTGACTCGAAAAAGTTAGAATGATCTTCTGCACGGGTTGAATGCATCATCCAATCAGTTAAGATTCATCCATTAGAGAACTATTTATGGTATCAACAACAGAGTTTCTAGCAAAATATTACCATGAGAATTATCTTCCTGCTTGCCTCGTTTAGCATTTGCAGCCACTTCTTTTGACTTAAAATCACAAATACAAAGATAATGAATCAGTGCCTTCCTTTTGATAAGATGGTTTTTCATCATGAAAATAGTGCAATAGCATGAAGTTTAAGCTACAATCTGACAGTTATCCTAACCTGAGCAGAAGTGGTATTTTTCCCTGCTGAAATTTCTTGACCAACAAAATTCCACGACAAAGACAGATTATTCTTTCTGAAAGAATCAAGACTCAGGGGCCCTAAATCGTCAGTGTTGGCCTTGATGACATCCATTACCTAAAGTATGCTCAAAATAGTAAAGAAAACAAGCACACAAAAGGACAACATAGCTATTATGTCAACAACAATGTCCATTTATAACTTGCCTCTCTTGAGAACAAAGGTTTGAGATGTTGCAATGCCAGCCGCTCTCTCCAATTTAGATCCTGTGCCATGTGGTATTTTCTTATATAGTAAGAATAGCATCCCAAAGGACCCAAACTAAACTACCATCCAAATGAAGTATGTTCCAAAGAAAATACCTGTTTACCAGAGCTAGTTGAAAAATAATTTTGATCTGCAGGAAAATGGATCAATTAGTTTTCTATTATTTCATATTATGCTGGAGAGACATTTTACGTGTATCGAACACATCCATGTACTGATAAACTGCTAAATTAAAGTTGAGTGATAAGCAGACATTAGTATCGCACCCGATTTGCAATCTTATCCAATCCAACTATCTACTTTTTTTACAAAAGAGATAATCTAATGAGAACCTGTATGCCCTTGAACCAATCCCTCACATCAATTTTTTTCCTCTCAATACTAAAATTCAGTTCATTATCAATCCCAACAGGAAAGTCCACGAGTGCTTTGATGACACACTATTACAGTAATTTCATATACGTGTCACCTTTAATCTCGAAAAAGAACACAAATGCTTTCACTCCACAAACAAGAACTCTAAAATAAACAAGTCATTGAACAAAAGGGAACTGAGCATTAGACCTGTCAGTTCCCTTCAACAATTTAGCATCAACGTGAATACAGAAATGTTCATGGTAAGAGGGCTGTATACCACGCAGTAACAAACTTTTTTGGACCTTAGCACCTTTCTTTGTTTTGATCACCAAAATTTCCAACTAACGCAATGCAATATCAGCTCTATACTCCCAAACTATATGACATGCCAACTATACAGAGTTTTTTAGAATTCAGCACTCATCTTGCCCCACTCCCTCTTTGGTTGAATTTCATTAACGATATTTTAATAAGAATTACAGATCGTGTTACTTTTCAACCACTTTATTTCTTCATCACAATTAAGCTAATTAATCAATACTAAAAAATGCCTAAAATCTAAATACGAAAACCTTAAATCCATCACATAAATTCTCTTCCTGAGATCTGCCATATTGTAGTAATCAAACCAAAATAAAATCACCGTGCATCTCTCAACTGACCATTGGAAGCAGAGCTCAATAAACCGCGGCCGACGAACAAAATCGAGAAAACGAGAAATGATAACAAGACGAGCACAACAATAGAAAAGTGAGGTCCATTGCTTTTGTTCCTGTGGATGATTCCACCTGATAATCCCCTATTAATCGCCATTTCGTATCATATACCTACAAAATTACCCAGTCAAAATAAATTATACTCAACCATTTATATCTACAAAAACATATACGTATAACTAGTACGAGAGAGAAAGGAGCGCAATACCGAGAGAATTTTGATAAAGATTCGACTAATTGGGTTTGAATGGTTGAAGATCGTAACAAAGCATTGGAAGATTGATATATAATTATATGCCGATGTATGTATTCTTCTGTATGAACTGTGTATATGTGCGTGTAAAGGGCAGGGAGAAGTGCGTGGAAACGAAGAACCCCTCTCTTCGCCTCAATATATTTTCGTGTTATTTGTATACGTAAATTACTGAACAAGCCCCTAACCTTTCATAAGTATGACAATCTTGTCCTCAACCTTCTATTTATGGCACTTATATGTCCAACTATAACAATATATACGTGCTATCGTCGCCTGATTGAAAACGTCAATTTAAAGTCGTCTTCGTTTCGTAAAAGTCGCAAGGCACTCGTGTATTTACCCTTTTTTTTTGTTTTTTAATGTACTAGTAAATTTGCATACTTTGGGGGTGTTTGACACCCATTTTTGTGAAAGAATGTGTTTTTGAATAATGATTGATGGAAGAATGTGTGGTTAAAAAGTAAGGAGAAATTTTAGGTTTATGTGTAATATTATTTTATTGATAGAATGTGTGGTTGAAATGAAGAAAGAGAAAAAAAATGAGAATGAGAATGAAAAAGAGAAAAAAATGGGTGACAAACGAGGGCTTTGTTTTTAAAGACAAATTGGTTCCTCGTCAATCCTTCGTTGGCCTCAAGGTAAGGTTCTCTCTCTAGATCTTCCTAGAAGATTCAACTTTCTCTCCTCTTGGTCTTTGACTGTAGAGGTGTGGCGATGGAGTGGGATATTGCGAGTTTGTATGCTAGACTTAGGTTAACGGCGAAGGAATCTCAAGTGCTCGAGGCTGAAGAAGAGGATAATGGGCTCTCCCTGGAAAAACGAGCAAAGTGCATCGCGTTTAGGGTTCTTGCCGATCGGGAGGTAAATAAGGGGGCTTTGAAGAAGACTTTGATCCAGCTTTGGCAACTTGAAGGTAANATGTTCACAACCTAAAGGATATAGCGTTCAATGAAGAGGTTTTTTGGGTCCAATGCCATGACCTACCCTTTGCCGGTATGACGTATAAAACGGGGAGTGCAATAGGAGAGCGTCTTGGGAAGGTCTTGACAGTTGATACGGATAGTAGTGGGGTTTACATAGGAGCATTCCTGCGCATAAAGGTCCTTATTGATATATCAAAACCACTGATGCGGGGGTGCTTATTCAAATATGGCAGGGACCAGTGTTGGGTCCCATTTAAATATGAAAGATTGCAGAATTTTTGTTATCATTGTGGGTTGATCTTTCATTCCTCTGGTCGGTGTGCTCAGAAGGAACTAGGGGCTGCGATTGGGGAAGGGATTGAACAGCAGTATGGTCCATGGTTGAGAGCTAATTGGAAGCTTTCAGCAGGTGTATCATTGTCGGAGGGGGCTGCCAAATCTCAGCTGCATTGCCCAGCTTCAAATCCTGATCCTCAGCAGACTGGAGATGAAAGTAATTCTGGGCAGATGGAGGTGGAGGACAATGGGATAGTAGCAGGTGTGGATATCCAGGTGAAGGATAGTAGTGGGGAAGCTCGCCCTAATAGGAGTGTCCTAATGGATTTGGGTCAGAGAAAAAACTGGAAAAAGAGGGCTCGTTCAAGTTCAGATTCGGCTAGGCACCAGGTTATGGACGTGGATGGATGCGAGCCCAATGATTGGAGCTCAAGAGGGCAAGAGACTGAGGGTACTGAGGAGTCACCTCCCAAGCGAGTTAAACGTGTGCAGGGAGAAGCGGAGGGCCCTATTTTGCCAGTGGCTGCTGAGCAGCCTTGGCAACCTCCGTAAGGCCGGGAATGTTACGGGTTAGGGCGTGGGATCCCTGGGGCGGATTGAGTAATCCTCTTGCTTGTTCGTTAGGCCAAGTTCCCAGTTTTTGGTGGTCTGGTGGTGTATATGTGTTTCACCAGCTTGTTTTGGTTTGTTTCTTGTCTCTGGTTGTTCAGGTTGGTTCGGTTTGGAAGTGTATATATGTGTCTGCTCCTGTTGGTGGTGGATAGGCTGTTGGTTGGTGTTGGTAGGGTTTTTTCGGGTGTTTTGGATTTCCGCTCACCTTATGGGTGAAGGGCTGATGAGTTTGATGGTTGATGGATTTCCTGCTCCTGGAAGTTTGCCTCTGCTGATGGTTTCATTTTTGCTGGATTCATTTCTTGATTGGGGACCGTTTTGCGTGGGTCGGTTCTTTTGCCTCGTGTGGGGGCTGGTTGGTTTCTGGTGGTCGTACATGACCATTGTAATAGCTTCAGCTTCGGCTTAGGTCGCACGTTAATCCCTCTTGGCAGGGCATTGTGTAGGAGGTGTTTCCTCCGTGTACCGTTGGCTATTGCAATGTTCAATGAAATTTGTTTCATATTCAAAAAAAAAAAAAAAATTGGTTCCTCGTAGGGATGGTAAAAAAATAATTCAAATACCTTTTAGGGCATATCCCGAACGGAGCGAAGATTATCCACTTAATCGGGTATTCGAGTTGAGGACGAGACAGGTACAGGTAACAAGGGCCCATATTATTTTTAATTTATTATTATTATTTTTTTAGAATTCAATACTTTAAATCGAAAACTCCACCAAATTTTACTAATTCTTATAGAAGATGACAACTAAGATAACTAAAAAATCTGACACAATAAAGGCCTTAATTTACCAAATATATTTAAATAATTTAATTCAAAAATAAATAAAAAATATATATTATTATCTCGCTTTAATGAATGAAGACAATTAAATGAATAGTAAACGACGCAAAAGCCCGCCTTAAATAGGTAAGGGGAGCAGAAAATTACTCGACAGGACAGGAGAGGTTGCCCCGACCCCGACCCATTGCCATCCGTAGATCCGAATGTCCATAGAAAATGAAAAACCTAAAACTTCTTCCAGTTAAATCGCCGTGTGCACCACCTTATATAAATATCAATAAAACCAGATGGATAACTTTAAACAGTGAATATATCCTGCTCAGGAATGTAATCTAGAATAAAAGCAGTTTAAATCCAAAACACATGATACTATCATTAGAGTAGACGCTAGTACAGTCATAGACAGAAGCCACCGAGATCTTTCCCAAACATAAATCGAAACATGTTTTCCTTACATTAATTAAGATCACTAGCACTTCTTGTTCTTCATACCTCGATCAAATTGCACAATAACATTGTTCAAAGTAAGTAGGGGAACAAGATAACTACAGCCTATATAGGCTCGATAGCATTTCTTAATGGAGACTACTACATGGATTACTGTTTCCCAAGTGCATCATACAAAATACAGATAAATGCGCGTCGGACAGGGCCACCGTCTCAGAAAAGCAAACCCGCCACATGTTCGTAGAGCAAACCAAGGATATAATAAAACTGGTTACTGTAACAGAATTGCAACATCCAAGTAATCACCTATCTGATGTGGAAAGACAAAAGTCAAAATCCAATTTTGTGAAACGATAATGGGAAAGTTGCACCACTCGGCCCCAGCTTATTGCATCAGTGGCAAGTAGATCCCCAACCTTCAAAGGGAGCAAAATAGTCCCACACCTTTCATTATAGTTGCACATTCAGTCTCCAATGATGGAAACCATCCAAATCTCTATTAAATTGTTTGGCTTTTGCTTCCCAACATGGGATGGTGCCCGAAATTTGAAGCGAAGCTTGTTTCAATTATTGTTGCATAATAATTTAATGAAAAATTGGGAGATCCTCGTTGTTAGGAATTGGTTGTGCAACTTCAATGAAAGTTCATTAGAAGCCCAGTCTAAAATTCCTGAAAATTCATGGAACAACTTGCTCATTTTTAAAGGTTGAGAACCAACTTGCTGCTAGTATAATAGGTTGGGGAACGATACTGCAATCTTTTTAACAGTAATTGTGTCACCAGAGTACAGAGGAAATCAAGATTTACCTGAAAGCTAAGTTCACCCAAGGATTTGCTTCCACTGTCAGGTCGCCTCCCATTGGGGTAAGAAAAGGTTCTCCCCACCTTCATTAACAAAGGGGAATCACCAAGGTCAGAACATCGAAGATCAATTCATGCCGTATGCTTGGTTCATAAGATGAACACAGAGAATGTTCCCCTTTCCAAAAGCATCATGAGAAAAAAGAAAATGATAGAAGGAGAGAGAAAGAGAGACACGGAGAGATGACCTCTCTAACCACAAAACGACCATGTTTATCAGGATAGACAAAAGCAAAGGACAGAATAGCATCTCTTCTTCTTGCCTCTGGTGCTACCTCTTTAACCTGGGAAACAAACAACTTGAATTACACGATCGATATAGTGACAAAGGATGCGAATGTGCATATTCATTTGTGGAGATACAAAGCATTTTGTCACAGAATTAAGAAGTGCAAAGCAAAAACCAATTTTAATTGGATATGTGCAAACAACCTCGAACGTGTTAATTCTAATTGCCAAAACTAGTGGGGATAAAGCAAAACAAAATCAAACTGGATAGATACAAACAATTTAAATGCAAAACTTACGCCTGACTGATCCAAAACTAGCTCACCAGGTTCAATTGTTAGTTTATCATCAATATAGAATAAGGAGGAGGAAATTAGTTTGTTGTTATTGACTAGGTGATAACAATGCAAAAATTACGAATTGTTGCACCAAAGCAACAAATCAGGCGGACTTAGCAAATACTACTGATGATGTAGAATCAATTGAAATAACCACAGAAATCGGCAGCAGAGGAAGAATTCCAGCAAAAAGAAGAGCAGAAGACAGCAGGAAAAGAGAAGGAGAGGAAGGAAGAGAAACAGGGGAAGAAATCGGAGAGAGAGTGGGGAAAGAGGGAAGACAGGGAGGGAGAACGCGGGCAAAGCCAATCTTAATTCATTTTATTCATCAACTAGTTTCAATACATACCCTCTAAATAAGCAAAACAAACCTAAAGCATAAGGGGCTTGGGCCAGCCCATTAATACAAGCCAACTAAAGAAAGCATAAATAAAAGTCCATAATACAAAAGGCTGATGTCTGCATCAACTTATATACTGCTTCAATTGTTTTAGGCCCCAGTTGCCCAAGGAGAAAACAACCACTAGCTGCTGCTCTACCACTTAGACATGATAAGGTTTTGATACAAACTTCAATGAGATTTTTGCAGAGGTAAATGTTAAATTATAAACAAAATAGAAGTCCATAATACAAAAGGCTGACGTCTGCATCAACTTATATACTTCTTCAATTGTTTTAGGCCCCAGTTGCCCAAGGAGAAAACAACCACTAGCTGCTGCTCTACCACTTAGACATGATAAGGTTTTGATACAAACTTCAATGAGATTTTTGCAGAGGTAAATGTTAAATTATAGACCAAAAGATAAATAGCTAGTACACATGTTTTATCAGCCAGAAACCCATTTCTCTCTAGAAGAATATGGACACAAAGGCATGCACATCAAAGAAGGGAGTAGAAGCTGAACTCTGAAATAAAGAAATGGAAGATACATTAGCAACTTCCCCTCATACCAGATCAGTTAATTCACGCAGGGTCGCATCCATCCATGTATAAATTTGGACCTCATCTTTGGGTTCCTTGCCCCTCACCGCAAACTCCCCATCAGTATGATGGCCACCAACCTGCAAAAAGTTGAAGAAGTGGATCAAAAATTGCCTAGATCTGTTTAATGGTAACTATAAGAGGAAGCCCATGATAGTTCACATACCTTAGTGAAAACGCGAAGCAACAATGGACAAGTCTGGACAACAACGAGATAAGAGAGAAAGATGTTATAAAAAAATTGGTTATGCAATTAAAAAGAACTTTTCATAAGTCCAACCTTGACCCATGAAAGTGGATGAAATAAACTTCTACAGTAATTTTGCACAAGGCATGCCAAACAACTAAATTCAATAAAATTCACAAAGTATAGATACAAAAAAAAGTCATTGTTTATGCAATGAAAAGAACTCTTAGAACATTCAACAATGGTTCTGGAAGGTGGAAGAAATAAAATTCCAAAGTATTTTTGCACGAGTCACATCAGACAATCATCACAGAAGGTAAAAAACAAAAATCATTGGATAAGATGCAAAAGTGAAATGCAAAATACCAAACATCACACAATAAATAGGTAGTTGATAATCTCCATATTTCAACATTATATACTGTGTGACAATTTTTTATTGTTCTTGTCATTGTTTTGAAAGAATCCCAATCCAACATAAAAACATATTCAGAACCAAATGATGACATCCACCTCCATCATTATTTCAAGAGCCATGAGCAATAGTTCAGTGCATTAGGCTTCAAAAAAAAAAAAAAATATCTTTCTATTCAAAAAATGAGTTCTCTCTAGAAACTCATGTCCTGAATTCCAGAATATTAAAATTACATTCAAAACACTTATAAATGAACATATTTTAAGGTATTAGCTGAACCCTAAACCCATTTTCTCAAATTTTCCGAAATTTTTTAAATAGTCATCCATTTGGCAGTAATTTATTGTGATAAATATTTAAGAAATACGAAAATCACTCCGATGCTTTAAATACACATATACATACAAGCGTACATGGTCATTCATTAAGGTATGCTAAACCCCTAAACCCATATTCTCAGATTCCAGAACATTCTTGAATAAACATCCATTTGACAGTAATAAATCGTCTAAAATATTAAAAAACCAAAATCGATCCAATGATTTACATGCACGAGTTCACACTCACACACACACACACCCACACATATATATATATAGAGAGAGAAAGAGAGAACTTTATCCCGGTCGACGGGTTCGAAGCGAGGCCCGGACTTGGCGGCAGGATGCGGTGGTGGACCCCTAGCCAACGGAGGCAGCAGCCTTCCTCCTGGTCTTCTTAGTACTTCTGCCATTGCTGTGTTCGCTTGTAATTTGGGCCAAAACTTCTATATTTTCCTTTGTTTTGGGCCAGGACGAGGGATTTTAGTAGTAATTTTTTTTTTTTTTTATTGCAGTTAGAAAAGAAAATTTAAATAATATTTTATTTTTAAAATATGTGATTAAAAATGAGTATGAGAAAAAAAAAAGTTATTGAAAAATGGTTATCAGAGGACAAAAAACTACAAAGTAAAAGAGTGAGTTTTGAAATAGTATTTTTTAAGAGAATGTGTGGTTAAAAAATAATGAAGGCTTTTGAGTTTACATATAATATTATTTTATTGAAAAATGTGTGGTAAAAAATAATGAAGGCTTTTGAGTTTACGTATAATATTATTTTATTGAAAAATGTGTGGTAAAAAATAAAAGAAAAGAAAATATTTTTTAGAATTAATTGAGCCCAAAGAAGGACTTAGTGACTAAGCTCTCGTTTGAACCACATTAAAATTTTCATTTTCATTCTTTTACTCATTTTCAACCACACATTCTTCAATAAAATAATATTTTTTATCACATCAATAATTTTTTCTTTCTTTTCAACCACACATTCTTGTAATAATTATTTTTAGCAATGGATCCTATTTTATAGTTGCATACACATTGAACTGAACAAGACAATCAACAAACAATTAAAATGTAGCGCAAAATACACAAGAGAACGAACAATCTATTAATGATTGCATCATTAGTCCTCAACCTATCGTTTGAGAAGCAAGCTAGTTCAACCTTTTAAAAAAAAAAAAAAAGTTATCAACCTTTCATTACAATCATATTCTCACAGCACAAAATAACGGTCTTTTATAAGGATCACACGATGATTTAACAAGGAGTTGATCCATATCTCCCTTTGGAGATACTAATTTGTGAGATATGTTAACGAACTTACTATTAAAATGATGTTTTGTTGAGAACCCATATTGCAACTTTCCATAATTCTCCCAAACAAGATACGTTGCAATTGTACGTCTCAATTGTCATGCACTCTAAAATGCTCGTTAAGAGCTGTTTGATAGGATTTCTGCTTCTTATATGCAAGTTTTTCAAGAAATTGCGCCCTATTTAGTAGAAATTAAAATTAAAATTTAAGTCAAAATAAACAATTAATTTTAATCATACATTTTATTGAACTCACAATTTTTCAACCACACACTTCATCGACTATTATCAAAATCTATAAAAAAAAAAATCTGATTTTAATTACCACCAAACAATAGCACATTAGGTCAACTTTTTCTAATAGCTCTTCGAGTTGGGGGATGTAGTTTCGGAAAAATATTCAAACATGTTCGAAAATAATTTCTCAATCTCATAAGCAACTTTTTACTTTACAAAGTCTATTCAAACGAGCCCTAAAGCATCTAAATGGCAACTATAAATTATGAGATATTCTCATAAGATAAAAATATTTGAAGGTTCAGCAATATTTAGTACAAGCACTGTTCCAATGCAAAGATAAAAATAAAAATTACTCACAAAGATTGTAAAGACACGCATGGTACTGAGTACTCTAGACTCTAGAGTGCTCGCGATATCAACATTTTTTTTTTCCTTTAATACCATTTCGTGTTCGATAACCCATCTTATCAAACAAGCAATCATTTCTATCGATTTGAAAAAAATTTACTTTCTAACATTTGAATTATCTTATCATTTCTGCAGAGAATTACGCTTATTTCTGGTTTCTGGAGGTCCAATGAAAAATTCAGTCTCATCAACATCTGAAACTTCACTATACACTACATGCTATTTCTGGTTTCTGGAGGTCCAATGAACAATTCAGTCTCAACATCTGAAACTTCACTATTATCTGTACATGCCACAGTTGCTCTCTCTTCATTTGATCCTTGTTGTGGTTCGAGTCCAAACTAAACCATCAAAACCTCAAATCAACGTCTCGAAATTTTATCAGGACTTATTGATGTGTAATAATTACGTAATCATATAACTATGAAAATAATCAGAAAGAATGAAGTAGAAAATATGCACAGAAAATGGTGAATTCACCTTCTCACACAGCATTGCATTTTCAGCTGCTAGAGCTTTTCCCTGGATTTGGTAAGATGGGAAAGATTTTGTATGAGTATTTACTGAAGCTCGTAATTCGTTGTGCGTGTGAGTTAGCGCAGACATGTATAATGTATACAGCAACATAGTAACATAGCAAGTCTTATTCCCAATAAATTTGAAGCAAACTGTATTTTTATTTTCACACTAGCTTTTATAGGTCTTCGAAACAAAATCCTTAATTAACAAACTACAACAGATCAACAATTGTTTTCACAAAAATTAGATTTTTAGTATATTTGAATAAAAATCGATGATATGTGAGGTTAAATGCTGATAAAAGTGTGGTTACTATGAAATATGTGATTGAAAATGTGTTTTAAAAAATGGGGGACGGACGGGCTAAATTTTGGCTTATCCCTCCATCTTTTAACGTGTGCTCGACTGCTCGAAAATTTTAGTTTGTATTCTGGTATTTCCAAGTTAAATTCTAACCCTATTTCACATTTGGCAAAACTGAAAGGGTAAGAACCTTCAGGTGATCATATTTTTTCTTCAGGGAATATTTACCTTTTCCTTTAAGTCCTCAATTTGTTGCATGAAAACTTGCATCTTCAAGAACAAAGAGATTAATCAGACCATTGATGAAATTCATTACAAATAATAATCACATAAATTTGCAAAAATACCTTTCTTGCACGAATGATCCCGACACTTCGCTCCAACTGCTGTTCTAGCTGTTGTAGTTCTTGAATGGAACATTGTCCCAAACCTTCCCCCAAAAGTCTCCTAATGCATCAATGGTCATTGTTTAGAATTTTCCAACAAGGGTTAGCAGTTTAGAATGTTTGGTTAAGCTTAAAAGTTACTCTTAAATAACTTTTTTTTTTTTTTAAGTTTTTAAAAGTTGCTCCTCAGTACAAAATATTACTCTTTCGACTGTAATCTTTACTTATGTTCTAAGTTCAATTTTTCAAACCTTAGTCTAGCATTTGCTATTTTATTATTTCGAATTTTCAGTACAAAAATCTCACTTTTTTTGACATTATTCATTATTTACTCTGGAAAAACTTAAGTTTTTTTTTAAGCTTAGCCAAACATGCTTTCGAGAAAAAAAATCAGAAGCAAGATTGTTAAAAATTAAGCTGTACGAACCGTTTAGAAATTTCAAGAAGTTCTATCTTCTTCTTCATAGTCGCTGTCTCATGCTTTAACTGCTGCAATTCCAAATAGATAGAGTGACAAAAACTTTTCAAGTTTCGTCTAGTTAACTAGAGTGATAATAAGCTAGCAAAAAAACTTGCTATCCTGTGAAAATATTCGAGAAATTTAAATGGTGATAACCTGCATATTTTGTTCATCTGGAGGGTGTTTTTCAGCATGATTATCTTTAGTATGCTTCTGGTAACGTTCAACGGTCTCCCGTGTGCTGAAAAAGTTTCACGTTCGATGAAAATAATCAGCAAACGTTTTCTTATTAATAAGCAAAAAAGCTTTAATGAATTGGTCTACTAGAGAAACGAGACTTCAAAAGTAGACCTATCAAGCCAGGTTACATTGAAAATTCAAAGGATTACTGATTATACAATACACAGCAAGATTATCACTGGTCTATATGTAAAATTTAATGGAGACAGCATGAAAATGAGATGTAGCAGCAAAAGCTCTGGAAATTGAAAATATGAAGAGAAGTTCAAATGTTGAGCATGGAACGAAAACTTTAGACTCTAGTCCTTAAATTCATCAAGTTATAGTCATGGTGATAATTAACCACTTCGAAAGATCAAAAAGAGTAATGATATGTAACCCTACTGGGGTTACAACCCCAGTTTAGGCGACTCTAAATGATAAATTAAATGAAAGATGAAATTAAATGATATCATTTAATGTCTTATTGACGATTAAACTGTGGTTGTAACCTCAGTGGTCGTTTAAGAGATTAATGAAGAAACAATGATAATTGATGAAGTTGTTATGACAAATTTTATATTTCTTGTTGACACAAAACCAATAAAATTGAAGAAACTGCCTACCACGAAAAGTTGAAAAATGCCAATTCAATCCAAATAGGATATGACTTTCAAATGAAAAGAAACACTGGTTAAATTGATGTACAGAAAATATTGAATTTCAAAAGAGAAGATGATGATAATAAAGCAAAGGTTGTGATAAATTTTGATAACAATTGAATTAATATGTATCTAAAAAGTTCATAAAAATTGTGCGTTGAAACATTTAGTTGAAAATGAGTTTTAGAAAATGGAGGGTCATGCAGTAACAGCTCAATGAGAATGTAAAGTCAATCAAATCAATTTGAAGTCAATATCTCTAAATGGCTTTATCGGGGAGGAAATTTATGCGGAGCAACTCTTTGGTAATGACTAGGAAGGAGAAGGATATATACAATATTTATCCAAGGAAGTAAGCATTGTAAAAACTGAAGCAAGCTCCAAGTATATATCCCAATGATATTTATATAAACTTGCACTCTAGAACAAGGAAGACCAAGAATATAAAATTTCAATAATTTGTTGACTGTTCCTGATCTCACTTTCACAAGTAACAACGTGATGCGTGATGAATTCAAGACATCGGTAATAAAAGAGTTAAAGCTTGTTTGGGAGGGATTAAAATCAGATTAAAATTAAAAATATAACCGTTAGAATTGACTTTTATTAGACGAGTGGGACCAATAACGGCTATATTTTCAATTTTAATTGGATTTTAATCCTTCTCAAACAAGCTCTTAGAAAAAAACTGACGTGGATTTTTTGTATTATTTTCTTGGAATTGAAGTTGAACAAAAGAATAAGAAGGTCGTGATTTCTCAAAAAGCGAAAACTAATGGAAGCAATGAAGAGGATAGAGAAGATTTTATGCAACAATTTATAGATTTTATGTGAGAAATCTTATGTCGCAACAAGGCCAAATCTCATGTTTGCAGCACCAAAACAAATTATTGGAAAGTTGGAAAAAGAGTTCTCACACCTGAGAGGAAAACTAGATCATGAACTTCACTACAAGTAATGTAAAGATATAGCTCTGGTTGCTTATAGTGACAGTGATTTGGGAGGTAAAGTTGATGATCTTAACTATAGAAGTTGATTTTATTTTTTGGGTCATGGTTGAGGGAGGTATTCAAGGATTGAAGTGTCCTCAAGAGGAGATTATTTGATTTTGAAATAACAACTTAGCAACATCTTTCCCTAACAACCCCCTTTTTCATGAAAGAAGCAAGTATAAGAATTAAACCCATGTTTGATTTAGTTAAAAATCAGATATTTTGTAAATTTTGATTAAAGTGGATAAAACATGTCGTTAAAAAATTGATAAAAGTTGTAAGACACATGAAATGTATGATAAAAAATGAGGACCACGCAGATGCTAGGTTTAACTTCTTGGAGATCTAATCAAAGGAGAAGAAGTTGTCAAAACCTGCAATCCTCTCAAGTGGATCTATCATTCATATATGCATCATGCTTATACCAAACTATTTCTTAAGTTTTTCTACATGCAATTTTTCATATTGTGAAAATATGTTTAAAATTTTACTGTCCCACTTTAGGTGTATGTGTGAAAGTATGATATTAATAAGTGTAAATCTACTTCTAGACACCCAGGGAAGGGTTTTATCTTTTCGTTTTTCAAGTCGAAATATATATTTACGGAATTAGACAAGAGTATATTGAATTAGTCCATGTTTGGTTAATTTAGCTAAAGAATCATATTTTTAGTAGATTTTGTTGACTTTAATTTATATTTTTATCGAGTTTTTTAGCTAAACCAAACAGATGCTTAATGATGCACGAAAATAGGAAATAAAACACAATTAGCCCCTAATTAAATGAAACAACATAATCTTTTACTGCATTATTAGCCACTGAAGAAGAGTTTTATCTTTTCATTTTTCAAGTTCGCAACAAATAGACGGGATTAGTTAAGAGTAAATTGAACTCTAAATATCGAAGAAGGGTTCTATCTTTTTTCATTTTTCAAATAAAAAAAGAGACGAACATATTTGGTCGGATTAAGTCCCTGCTTGGTGTAGCTAAAAATTAAGGATATAGCCCCTGTTTGGGCCACATTATTTTTTCATTCTCATTTTTCTACTCATTTTCAATCACACATTCTTAAATAAAATAATATTTTTCATCACATCAATAATTTTTCCTTCATTTTCAACCACATATTCTTCATCAGATCACTTTAAAAAAATACATTCTCTCATTTTAATGTGTACCAAACGGGTCGTTAATGGTGAATTTCAATGGGATATTCTTTAATTTCTTCATTAAAATAATTTTGAGTTTACATAGTGATTTGGTCTGCAGCATTATAGATGAAAATCGTACTAACATTTCTGAAGAAAAGATTCTTTAGGTATCATATAGGGAGCAACTGAGTAACATGGTCTCTTGAACAAAGACAGTTGATACAAAACCAAGTACTATAATCCAACTGGCTTCCATACTCGAAGCAGTTCAACTTTAAACTTAATTACTATTCAACGTGTTTTTTTAAACATCAAGAGAGTACAATTTTTTCTTCTTTTACTTTATTAATGAGCACTTAGGGGAATCATAATAATAAAGATTTTACGGGTTGCGCTAAAATGAGTCCGAAAAGAAAAGGGTCGATCAAAACTATCATGGTACGGTAATTTAGGCGGCGGGAAAGTGGCGAAAACTAAGTAATGTACCCTCGCACAAATTTTTTTTTTTTTTTTAGAATTAAGGCTTGGTTGCTGCTGTTGTGGCTAAGCTAAGCATAAACTTATGAGATATGAGGGACAATTGAAAGAGGAATTGAGATTTCAAGGAGCCGAAACACACCTAAAATTTGGGACTCTAGAGACTTCACTTATTTCTTATGAAAAAAAAGGCCAAAAATCACATGAAATAACTCGTATAAGTACACTGAAATAGTTGAAGTACTGCACAAAGATTCTGAACTTAGTAATAAGGTTATACTCCTATACTTTCGCCATGTATTTAAAGTCAAACTATAGCAGATCTAGCGATGAATAGTGTATTAGATTATCAAATTTACTTCGAATAAAGGCTTAATTAATGAAAAACATCATATAATTTGCTATTATGTAGGTAATTATTTTATGTTAATCGTATGATAATAGGCAGAAACTAACTCCGAGTATGCTAATTATTAATCATTTCCTCCTATTAAACAAAACCCAGAAGAAACCAGCACCAGTACTCGCCTTTTTCTCGTTTAATTAATGGAATCTCAATCAAAATTGTAAAATTTTAATAGGGTTCTTAAGTCAACAGCAAAAATTGTTCATAAGTGGCATCAAGTACTTGAATTTATTATGATAAGAAATAGGGAGAAAGCTGGTTCTTTCTGAAAATCTTTGCTCCATAGGGAATTTTTCTGTTTGGTTGTAACCCTAACAACGAGCAAGCAAGAAAATTTCATCATGATCAGACAGAAGCCCTACAGGGCATTTTTAGGTGATAAAATCTGTAAGATCTGACTCAGATTAATACAAGTTTGGTCATTTCATAAAACCCACAAAAAAATCTGAATCAATCATCCAAAACAGCATGAAAAATAGCATTTTCTTGATGAAATATCAGTAAATTCAATTACCAAAAACACATAGATCTTACCTTGAACTGGAAAATTCATAGAGTTTGCCTCTGGGAGAAAAGATAATCAGTGCAACCTCAGCATCACAAAGAACTGAAAGCTCAAATGCTTTTTTCAGCAGCCCATTTCTTCTCTTGGAAAAGGTCACTTGCCTGCTGGTGGCGTTTTCTATACGCCTCATCTGAGTTTTTCCTCTCACCATTCTCACACACCTTGTAAAATCAAGAGAACAACATCAAAAATGGTTAACAAAATCAATATCCCTAATTAGATTTGAGTAAGTACACGATTGGTATGCAGTATTAGACCCGACTAACAATCGAGATCTCGAATTCTTCCTGATGTTGTAAAGGTTTTGATTATGAGAAATAAGAAGAAGAAATTATAGTTCCTAACCAACCTGTGGAGCAAGTTTTCGAAAGATTTGCAAAATTGTGAATATGAAAACGAAAGAAGAAAAGGCAAGACTTTGCAGTGTGGTAAAAAGGGATGCTCTATAAATTTGGAAAAAACTCAAAGAACCTTTTGGTTGGAAATGAGAGGTGCATAGAGCCTAAAAATAGGAAGACACAAATATGAAGTGTGTGAGAGAGAAAGATAGATAGATGAAAGGGAAAAAGAAAAATCAAGAAAATCCCAATAGAAGTTTAACACAGGATGGTGCGTCTGTACAAGTGATTGATTGATTCTCGGTCTCTATTTTTGGGTTTTTATCATCATAAACCAAAGACTTGAACAGTCTCTCTTTCTCTCTCTCACGCACACTCTTTTTTCCTTATTCGTAGGTATAATTTCTTGCTTTCACTTTCTTGGCTAACCCCACCAAGGAAAAAGAAAGAATACAGTAATATTTTAGTTCAAAAGCTAATCCTTTGCTAGTTTTGGTAAAACCCCACAAAACAAAACAAAGATGAATAATTAGTACGTAACATCAAAAGGAAAGAGATGTATAACAAAACGAATCCACTGCAACAATAATGTTAGAGAGAGAAAGAGACGGGAACATGCATATACACACACGCGCACACACATACAGCCATCAATATCTTGGTAAAAAATTGAGGTGTTTGTACAAGTTAGATATATATCAACATCTTAGTACTCGTACTTACCCAAATTGTCCAATGAGAGATCGAAAACTCACAAGGATGTTATGATTTCTTACTTGATTTGCGATGGACGAGGGGACGGACTTGATTAAACACACGGGGGAGGGGGGACTTCATTGGCCTTTGCCATTTTCATAGGAGATACTCATAGCCATAGGCTACAACTTCTTTCAACTCTTTCATCTATAGACATTTCTATGATCTTTTGTCGACGGTGGATAAGAACTTACGTTGTTCACAATTAATGTGTCAACGTCACATCAGCAAATTAAGTCGTCATTGTTGACAATTCAACAAGAAATTATAAGATATGTAAATACTGACGGCTTGACTTCTATGACACGTTTAGCTGTGGCAAGAGAACAACAAAAAACATATTTTTTTAAATTTCAAAGCCACCGAACGGTGGCTATATATATATTGAGCAAATATCTCAGGTGCGAGAGATTACTCGATCATTTTACATACAAAAATATTCTAAAGCTTCTTGGCATACAAATTCTCACGCCAGACTAGCCACGGGGAGAAAAGCCTTGCCAGCAAGTTAATTTTAGACCATTTACACCGTCGTCCATGGAGTAGAGGCAACACCAGCATCAAATCGTAACTCCATTGGAGTGGGTACGCATGGACTTTATAAATGAAGGGATATAAATAAATGCAAGAGCCCAAGATTAGACAACCAAATCATAACCTTTTGTAATATAAATTTAGAATATTTGCATTTATATACATATTTTCACAGTGTCAATTTCTGCTTATCAAAATTTGCACTTCAAGGTCAAACTGGTTAAGCAAAGTAGTCAAGATTCTTATATATATTTTTTATTAAGTGTGATACTCTTGATGTTTATTTTATCGAATATTTTTATGTAATTATAAATTTTTCTCATCAATAAAACGTCACCGACATCAAGATGAATTAGTAGGTTGTATATTTCGATTGACTTCACCACGGCTTTTATTAGGGAAGCGAGTTGCTTCTTCTTCTTTTTTGTTTTGTTGACATAGGAACTCGCAGCTACTACCCGCCGTGGAGTCTTGACCACCTTGAAGGGGCGGAGGTCCGACCACTGTGAGTGCGCACTAGGTAAACCCCACTCCATGTTGCTTCTTTGTACGAGCTAATGAAGAAAAATGTATATTTAATAATTGACACATACGATAATGAAAAAAAAAAAGAAATTTAAATTATGAGCTTTTCTAGATTTTCTTTTTTAACATCGATTGGAATTCTTTGAACTCGTAGTGTGTATGAAAGATACGAGTTCAAAAAATATTTTATTTTCGCTCTGATAATATTATCTTCACGAAATTCTAGAATTTGCAAGGTACATTTTCTTACAATGTCTACCTGAAATTAATTTTGGGGGTAATGAGGCTCATAAATGGAAGAACAAAGAGTTTCTCAAAGAAGTTAAAATTGAAGTACAAAAGCATATAAATGTGCATTTAATTTATAGTTTACTTTTTATGAAATTAAAAAATGCGTATCCTTCATATTCAACATTTCCCATATATTTGTCTTCTAATTTCTAAATTTCTGCCCGTAGGTTTATATCAGTTTTTAAAGTATTTTCTTATTACCAATTAAATTTATAGCCTTGAAATATTATAATTTAGTTTTATAAATAAATATCCTATAATATATATATTTTGTCGATATCTAGGGATGATAACAGGACCGGATGGGACTGGATTTTCCATTATCATCTCCATCCAGTAGGGGATTTTCGAGAGGCAGGGATTAAAAAAAAAAAAATCCTTATTTACTGCCATGTTTAATTTTTTTTAATTATTTTAAACCAATTTAAATTGACAAATATAAAAATTAATCTAAATATAATACAGTGAATTTTTTTTTTCCTTTTCCTAAAATATGTATAGATAATACTATTTTTTTAATTTATTTTTTCATATTTTGCCATTATTGTTGGCTGATTATAAAAATTTTGTAAACACTTAATCACATTTTTATTCACACATTTAAAGAAGTTCATAAATAATATTCACTTATTCATCACTCATTTTTATTTATATATAATTTAAACAATTTATAAACATTTCGAGATATACACTAAATACATTTGATTTTAATAATTATAAATAATGAGCTTGAATAGAATGTGCAAAAACACTTCATAATGTTTTGAGTTTTCACTTATTCGACTAATAAATCAATTATATGGAAAATGCTATAATACCCAAATAATAGGGGTCTATTCTTAATTCTTATTACTCTTATTTTGAAGTTAGAAAATTATTAAGAAGAAACACGACTAATTATTATATTAATTCTTTCCAAGAGGTAACCACTCAACTATTTTCTTGGTTGAACACATTCTAGAATCAATTTTCCAAAACTTCACCATTTAAATAAAGTGGTTAGGTTCCGACTCTCATTTCTATAAAAAGAAAAGGCGTAATTAGATAGACACGACTAAATAGGTAAAAGATCTGAAATCTGATTATACGTGGAATCCACTTACCAAAGTATGATGATCGCATTAATGACTAAAATAAAAGGTTGATATCAATGATAGATCGCATATACATAAAATAATAGAAAAAAAAATGAAGTTCATATCGATTACGCGACATACGCCCGAGTTATAAACACTTGCCAAATATCACTAAACATATATACTTTCATCCAAACCAATTTCCATTGTAGGGATTGTTTATAGGTCTGATACAGGTGCTATACTAACAGCATATGTATGAACTGTTTTTACCTCATTTTTTACATCCTATGTCTACATAAGGTTTATTGGCACAAAAATCATGTGATTGAGCCTGGACAAGCAGCACAGTTGGTCTCCTCCATCTAGTTTATACACAAAATAGGGCTCCAAGAATCCATCTAATTTATACACAAAATTAGGGCTTCTCAAGAAGCGCTTGATACGAAGAAACAAAGCAAGTGATCACCACATCCAACTGGTCCCAAGTGGGCACGTGGCAGAAAAGTATTGGGTTGTGAATTGATTCTCGAGAAAAATATATATATATATTATATATACTTACATATAAATATACTATAAAACTCAAAAAAAGTACAGGATTTTGATGCCCTAACTGAAAAGTTGCAATAACACCTGTCGGCAAGTGGGTGTGGGACTGTGGGGTGCCTTTTAGGACAAATGGCTTAGGTTATTTCGAAATCTCTTGGCTTTTGCATTTTGGGTTCACATTTTAAGAGAGTGTGAGCAATTGTACATGGGTGGGGACCACTTTTCCACTTTTAATTACCAAAAATTAAGTGGGTTTTTGATTATAATTAGATGTGGTGGGTGAAGGATGAAACAAAAGGAGATTTTTCTATAGAGTAATCATATTCGGTTGAGTAATGTTATTCATCCTTATTGGGGTTCAGTCATATTCTATGTGGCAATTACATGATATTAAATGATAGATTCATTTAAATATAAAGCCACATAGATTGGGGTTGAATCATAGTGGAGATAAATAGCATTATTTTATTTGGTTTCACTGAGGTTACAACTCCAATTTTGATATCGTTAATGTAACATTAAATGATGAGTCATGTTACACTTACCAAATTTTTTACCAAATCTTTTACACCCTACTCACATTAGGGGGTGGGGACCACGGGTCGACATTTTTTAAAACACATGGGACCAGCGCTTTTGTGAGGGGGTAAAAAATTCTATAACCCTCCAGCATACCAACATTTTTCTTAAATGACAGATAAAATCAAATAAGTTATTTAATTCTATCTTTCATTTAGTCTATCATCGAGTATCATCAAAATTGAGATTGTAACTCTAATACGACTACATAGCATTAATCTTTTTTATATGGTTAGGTCAGCTTTTCCTATTTGTTTTTTCAATATTGGTGTGGAGTATTAAACTTTATCCAATCCTAATATAGTTTGGTTTCCCGGTATAGCAACAACTAAAATAAGAAATTATGGCATCATCTGATTATGGCTTCTTTTTTTTTTTCTTTTTTTATAATCATTACTTTCAAGAACATCATTAATTTACTCCAAAATTTTAGATTATAAAATATCAATATTGTATTTGATGAAAAATAAGTTATGCCCCTGTCTGGGAGGGCTTTTCAGAGTTTGAGAAGTGATTTTTCAGCCGTTGTTTTTGACCGTTTCTCACCAAAATGCAGCCGCAATCTGTGGAAATTTTACCGTTGCTGGGTCCGACGGTCCAAAAAGGAATTTTAATCCAAATTTTCAGCCAGCCCAGACAAGCTTATTTAGTGCTGCTTTGACCGAACTCATGAAAAGAAAAAAAATTGATTTTGAAAATATTTTACGTCACAAATCATAACACAATTTTATATCGAGCACTACCGTGTAGGTATTTTTGAATTTTTCTTTTACATACATAATTATGAAACCCGACCTAATAATTAACTTAGTCGAGGTCAATCATTGAGTCGGTTGGATGTTGAGAATTGAAAATCATAATTTTACAACACCAAGAACAATAAAATCGTAATAGAAAAATAAAATAATATGGGAAATTTATAGAGATTTGTTTCAATATATAACTACGTCGTTTTCCATAGACGCCCTATTTTATCTAACATGTCTATCTTTTATATGATAATATAAAATCCTAATGATAACTATTTATTTATAAGACAAATTAATTAAGATGAAATCAAAATTACAAATGTGAATTTCCTAAAGTATCCTTAATGAAATTATGGTCCGAAGATCGATCCGGTTACCGTTCTGTACAACAACAGTATTTAGGTTCACAATTTAACAGTTAGATCGATAGTTTATTGGATATAACGTTAGAGCACTATTTTAAGAATCATATAAAAAATTTCAAGACATAAAAGATTAAATTATTGAGGCAATAAAAGCTTTAAATTATACTTCTGCCGATCATTAACCTTAATATTTCTCTTCATTTTATAAATTTCGATTCTAAAGAATTTCTAACAAAATATCCCCGCTGAAATTCATTTTTCTATTACAATAAAATAAAAAATAAAATAAAAATCACAAAATACTTGTTTGATTGTAGAACTAGTAAATGTTTCGTACTGTTTTATTGAATTTCTATAATAATAATTTAAAATAATGTTAATTAGGTTAAGTTACATTCACGAAGAGCGTGCAAATGATGTAAACATTAATGGTGAAATACGTCCCGAACATCTCTTAATAATTATCAACACGTCCCAAACGTCTCAAATCATTTAAAAATAATAATTATTATTTTTCAAAGTCATTTGTACATGCTAGATTTAAGGGCTATCGAAATAGGACTGTGCTGTGTGTACAAAAACACACGGCACAGAAGTAATACGTAACAGATACATCAGCTGGGGTGGGTGGGTGGGTGGGTGGGTTTATTTTTACAATATTATATTCACTGTAGGACCCACGCTTTGTGAGATTTCTGGAAAACTTCTGTGAAACAGTTTTCTGTATACATGAAATTTTCCATCGAAATAAATCACCTTTGAAAAATATTTACTTTTAGACCTAGAAATTTATTGAAATCAAAATTAGGACACAATTATGAAATTAGAATTATTTTATGGGTAATTTAAATTTCAATAGTGGTCCACAAACTTTTGTAAGTGGGGGCAATTGGACAAACCTGCAATCCAACCAGACCCACAGTTTCCCAATTGGACAAGATTTGACCCCAAATCGTTTTATCTATCGACCCCAGTCGGTTTGGACGATTTTCCGGGTATTTTGTCCGTTTCTAGTAGTGACAATTTTTGACAAAAGTGGATAATTCATGTTTACCTCTCTCTTTTACGTCATTTCAAAAGAGTAATTATATCCAAACCATAACCTTTTTTTTTTTTTTTAACTGCAAACATTTTTATTATAAATGAATATCCCATTATTTTTTTATTTTGTTGCACTTACATTTTCCACTTTTTTTCGTTCGTATTTTTATCTTAAGGATGTGTTTGATGGATATTATCGAGAAAAAAAATATATTTTAAATAGTGATACGATGAGAAATATGTGGTTAAAAATTAAGAAAAAATTATTAATGTAATGTAAAATATTATTTTATTGAAGAATGTGTGGTTGAAAATGAGTTTTGAAAAAACGTATTTTGAAAGAATGTGTATCAAACAAGGGATAAAACTCAATTAATTAACACATTTTGTCTCTTATTTATAATTTTTGCACAAATATTTATTTATCCCCTGATTGAACTCCATTAAAATGAGATTTTGTGAAAAAAAATGTATTTCGAAATAGTAATTTTTTGAAGAAAAAATGTGATCAGAAAATAATTAAAAAAATTAAATTTATGTGTAATATTATTTTATGAGCGTGCACGTGGTTGAAACTGAGTTTTAAAATAAATGCATTTTTGAAAAAATAGAGCTCAAACAAGTGGGTGTTTTGAATAAAACATATTTTTTCGAACTTATTTGTTGTTTATTTTACTTATCTAAAAATACGATGAGCAAATTAAACTTTTTATACTTTTTAATGAATTTTTTAGATAATAATCATTCGAGACAAGATTGACCAATTAATAAAATGTAATTAAAAAAAAATTGCGAAAAAAGGTTGAGAAAATAAGTGCCAAAAAGATAAAAGCACATTTTTTAGCCCCTGCCATTAGTAGTCATTTACAGATCTTCAACGGTGTCCATCCATTTGGGCCTACCTGTACCAAAATTGATTGTTTGAGGACCTGAATGCCAAGAAAAATTGAATGGGATCCAAGTGCTACAAGTTTCAATGTTTGGGGGCCCACGTATTAAATAGGTGCTACTTTTAGAAATTGACTAAAAAAAGACCACAGTCCACAAGTGCCACATTTCTAGATATCTGTCCTTTTCATTTCGTCCTAGAATCCTCATTTTCTAAACCATATTTTTCTTTAAATTAATTTTCTATATTATATTTGACAGATCTACGACTTTTATCGACTTTTCAACTACTTCTTTCATCAACTTTTATCAAAATTTTTAAAACCAAACAGGGCCTTTAATAAAGTTTTACATTTAGACACGTTACCTTTTTAGTTTAATTGTTTATTAAATTTTAAATAAGATACTAAACTTCCTGAAAAATTAGTTCATACAAGAAAACAAATTGCCGTAAATAGATGTACCATGTTTGGCAAAACTTATAATTATTAGGCTTAGTCTAAACGCATACATTCCATTACATAATGGATCTTAATCATTATCCACGCATTTCATAAGAGACCCACAACTCATAATCTAATAAAAACTATGCCAAACAAGAAAGACACGCTCAGACTTGCACAGAAGCTACAAAGGAAAAGCAGATGTACAAGTATACGAGACAAATCAAGTATAAATGACCGTTGAGAACGATACAACACTCCTTGTGTATATTTCCCCGGATGTGAGCATATCCTGTGACAACAAAAATGAGGAGCATTTTGTGTTTGTATATTCAATAAAATAAGGAGCTTTTGTTCCATGTTTGGCTAATCTTTAAAAAAATTATGAGTAAATAAGTTATTAAAAACTTATATACTGTACTATCAAAAGAAAACTACTTTTTTTTACTACCTATCTAAACATGTTTGGGACAAGATCTTACTTAAAAGCTTAGCCAAACATATTGATATGCATCTTGTTTCCTTAAATAAATGTTGCAGATTATTTTCTTCCACAGCATGAACTCATGCTGGATCCATATAACTTGAAGCAAACTCGTCATCAGAATCACCAGAATCAAAATTGTTCTCAGTCTGAGTGTCGTCTCCGGTCTTATTTCCATATGCAAGACTGACTAAATCGTCCTCTGGGTCGCTAAATGATTCTCTCTCCGTGAGAAAGTATCCCTCATGTGTAGGTTTATAGTCTTTGCCCCTCCATATCACAATCTGCTCCTTTTCAAAAGTCACAAGAATACAAGGCACCAAATCCTGTATCAAGAGAATAGACAATCTCCAATAAGAAACTCTTGGTTTGCAATCTACGAGACAACGAAGGCAAAGCCCAATAATAAAGAGATTGTGTAGGTGATTAGGGTATGTTTGGTAAGCTTAATGTTACTTTTGAATAACATTTTTTTGCCAACATGTTTGAGCATTTTTATAATTTATTTCTTTTTAGGATCTTTAGTCCAAAACTTACTTCTGAAAATTAAGTCGTTACTTTCCAAGAAAGTAATTTTACCATTTCTAAAGTTTAGGTCAATTTAAAAGTTGCAGCCATTCCAAAGAGCGACTAGAACCTTAAAGAACATGGAACATGTTATGATAAAAATGTTTTTACCCTTATCTTACAAAAATTGAAATATAAAGATATAACAAAATCTTGAGTTGAGAAATATACTATCACCTTAATCAAGTAAAAACATGTGATTTTAATAACTAAGCGCAGATTATGAGTCAATTAATCATAGGCACGAAGAGCCAATTCTTGTGCTCACCAGTCCTCACAAGTACCCAAAACTCACTGTGCCTGAGCACGTCTCTACTTCTTTCTTTTACTTTTGTTGTACCACATTTACAATGACGGAATAAAGATTGCTATATAATGCGATGTAAGCATGAAAAGCAATATTTCCAAACGTATTATTCACGAAATGGAATGAAACCCAAGCTAAGAATGGAACAATGGAGCAAAAATTTGTTTATAACAGAACGAGGGTTTGACTGCTTAACGAGCATTATGATATCTGAATAGAATTATGGAGACAAATGAAGATCAAAAACTTGTACCAACATATATGCTAAACTTAGGAATTATAAGAGTATATGTCTAGCAAGTTTCAAACACTGTAAGGGGGTAGAAAACACTTCCATTTATACAAGAGTTCACTAAATTGACTTTTCTGTTAATCCAATATGATAGAATTATATTTTTTTGAATAAAATCGTATTTAGGAAGACATGTCTTATTTACTCCATGGATCAACTCCAAAAGGTTAAGTATAAAAGCAAGCAAAAGTCTTTTCATGCTAACAGACATGTGAAATCATATATAATATCAAATAATATAATATGCTTTATTAAGTATTACCCTCAGTTTGCAGCCTATTTTCTTGTAGTCGCTCTTTTGAAGGCCTTTACAATCTATACGTACCAGCTCATCAGTGAGAAAAGCATCCCGAACCATAGGCACGAGACTGCCATAATAACCATTTTTGGCTGCAATTATCATTCAAGAATTAGTAGTAGTACATCAAATATAGTAACTAAAGCAAGATTAGAAGAAATTTTACCAAGTTTTGTTAAGGCAGGGACAGATAATCCTCCTTTCCTCATTTTTTTAGTCTCCTCAATGTTTAGGCCATCAATAGTTGTTTTTATAAGCCTTGGATATACTGGCTCCTGAGGCTTCCACAGCATTAATGGAATCACAGGTCTTTTCTTAGAACGATAATTCCTACCTCTGTACAATACAAGTTGACCGCCATGTCTATGAATGATCTTACCAAATGTTTTATCCTGGAAGATATGCAAAATACCTCAATACACAAAATAAAAGGGCAAAACCATGAACCTCAGATACTCGTACTCCTGAATGTAATTTATACATCAGCAATCTTGAGAGAAATAAAATAAATTATGAGTAAAATTATATCGCTCCGAAGAAAAACAAAATTTGGACCTTAAGATTGAAATATATCGCAATAAATGATAAAAAAGAAAAAGAGATACAGCAAGGATGCTCCAGTATACACGAAGAAAAGGAAATACCTCCAATTGGGTGCACACGTTTTTCATATCAAGAGTAGGCACACCCATACATTTTATCCTGACAGCCTCATCGTGTTTCCAGTGATTATGAATATCATTCAACATGTTGTGTGTTAAACCATCCCTCCCTAAGAAAAATATATAAATGTACAAAGTTAAAACAAAGCCAGGTAACCCCACATGTGATCTTGCTTATGCATATGTAGTTTACCCGAGTGACAAAAGAATGTTTCTTCATAAATATACGAGAGCAATGTAATTACACATTTTCCATTACAATATGCTAACTGGAGCCGTAATGGCAAATGGTGCCTGAGTACCATTTTAACCTTAGTTACTCAGAAAGATCCAGCAAACTAAACCATGCGTTCTTTACTTCAATCTAATGACCGTATAAATTCAATATCTCGTTCTGTTGGCTGCCTATGAGCAAAAAAATTGTAACAAGCACCACCAGTGACAAACTTCTACAATCAACCCAAATTGAAACCAAAGGGCTTTCCTTTTGCATCTAGACACTCAGCATGTTCCATCATTTCATGATATCCGATAATTATTAAGCAAATATTGATATATATATATATATAAAAGAACTGCAAAAGTATCAACCATTACATTTCGATCAAAAGTTAATCTTGGCAAAAAAATTAAAAATTAAAAAAAAAACTGAGGACATTAATCCACACTTTCCCGCATTCAACATCAAATACTTCCATAATCCTACACCCCTTATCCCCATAACAGCTTGAAGACAAATACAATCCTGTGCGAGTTGTGCTCCTTTTTCCTCTCAATTTTTTTCATGTCAATCTAGTCACCACAATTTTGTGCAAAGTTTGCAGCTTTCTACAACTTATAGTGCTAATATTCGGCGTGTCAATATAATTTGCACATATCTTGCGGAGTTTACGGTTTTTTCTATTTAAATTCTTCTATCCATTCATATTCATTTCTTTCTTTTATTCTTATTCATGTAGTAATTGATGAACAATCATTTAAGAATTTGCTCTATACTGTAGAAAAGAATGCAAAAAATCAATATTCAATTCACGGAATGAAGCAGCAAGGAAAAAAGGTTAAAAGATTAAAATACCCAAATTAACTTGCTTCTTCGTCCGGTGCCTTTGATACCTCTCGACGAGAGCTTTCCTCTCAGCATTCGTCAACGGCTCTCCCTGAACTCTCTCTCTCAATATTTTCCTCTTCTCCTCCAAATCTTCCTCCTTTTCCGAGGACCACTCCTTCAGGTCGGTCACCGGGGCACAAACACCTGTCCAGGCCCTGTCCAAACGGCCCGGCCCGAATGGGGAGTACTTAGGCTCGCGAAGGCCAATGGGTCTGACATTTGGACTGCTCTCGGTGTAACTGAACCGGAAATCAAAAGGGAGGTTGGAACGGACTGGCTCTTGACCAGACCGGTCGAGGGATGATGGTGGGCGGTACGGGGGTTTGGAGGGTTTTTTGTGGTTGGGTTGTTGTTGGGGTGAGGTTCTGGGCTGGGGCTTAATGGAGTTGTCGGGGTTGAGAGAGGCTGGTGGCTTGAAAGAGTATTTTGTGTAGAGAGACGAGGAGGATGTGGTGGTGGTGGAGAGCGGGTGGCGATTGGAGGAAAGGGTGATTGAGGGCGGTGATTTCTGGCGGGAGAAGCGGCTGAGGAAGGCGGCGAACATTGTTCATAGTGCAGGTCGACAGATTTATTTCGCAGCTTAAGCCTAAATTTGGCTCTCTTTCTTGAGTGATGCTATGCAGGGCTATTTTCACAGAATTTTTACGGATTGGACACACAATCAATTTTTAGAAAAAAAAACACCACCAATATGTTGCCTTTGAATAATTCTGTGTACGCAGGTGGTGTTCTTTTAAACAATCAAACCACTTTTTTACAAGTAGTTATCTACTAATTACTTTTATATATGCACAAATTGTGTTATTTTGAAAGTTATATTAGTGTTTTGAATGATAAAAATTAATGGGAGTTTGTATTACAAAATATTAATGGTTTAGTGTTTTCTTCAATTGGACATGTTGAGTTATGGGGTAACATATTAGTGTGCTTTTAGATGACCTTCAATTTCGAAGTTGTGTTTTTGTTGTTAAAAATCTCAGAAATTATGTGCATTCCTGAATTTCGTATAATTTTGTTGATTTTATTGTGATTGTATGAATAATTCTGTTGATTTTATATTCCACGGAGATCTTTTTTTTTTTAAGTAGAAGAAAACAATGAAGACGATTTTTGAGAAAACCTTTCCGGATAAGTCTTTTTACGAGTTAGGACAAGTCAATTCAAACTTCAGGACATACGTTATGGGAATGCATACTCACGATGTGTATAGAAGGAGCTTGTTGTATGTAGCCTTGTCCAACTTGTAGATGAATTCATACTACAAATAACCAACCTAAAACAGAACGTAAACAAGTAATCAAATAACAAAATTTATTAAACAATAAGATAAATAATCTAAAATACAAACATACGTCATGCACCCTTTATTTTTAATTCGACTATGCGACTTACAATCCAAGAGATTATCACAACCGATGTTTTGATTGAGCATCTCCGCTTTGCGTCGCACTCCTACCATTTGATGTGCAAGGTCTAATGTAAGTTAAAGTAAAATGTGAAGGCAGGTGAAATGTGAATGGAGTATAAATTACTTAAACGCCGACTGCGTAACGGCAAACAGAACTGAATGATGACACAATTAACGGACTTAATAACAAACTAAGCCTTGTTCACTTGTTCGAAGTAAATTTGGAATCGGGTAATTAACTCACATAACGACAATCTAACAAGCATAAGACTCAACTAAGTGTTCATTGTCTCTTTTTTGAAGTAAAAACTTTTGAATTTGCATAATATTCAACATCTTTGGTGATCACATAACAAATTATAATTGCAAAAATATGTCTCGACAAGTTTCATTGACTGCATGCATTGAACTACTTCGTAACCAAATGATGAGCAATAAATTCTATGGCAATTAAGTATAACTTATTGATGCTTATCAGAACAGCAATCTCAGTCACGTGATCAGATTGAGCATTGCTATTGCTATCAGAGAAAATGGGGTCGATATCTAGTGACGCATTGTCCCGAATGCTAGAGAAGTCCTTGATATCATCCTTACCCCAGCACCAACACTCTTGTTTTGAATTCTGAGGTTCATGGTTTTGACCTTCTATTTTCCATATTAAGGTTTTGCATATCTTCTAGGATAAAACATTTGGTAATATTATTCATAGACATGGCGGTCAAATTGTATTGTAAAGAGGTAGGAATTATCATTTTAAGAAAGGACCTATGGTTCTATTAATTCTATGGAAGCCTCAGGAGCCAGTATATCCAAGGCTTATAAAAACAACTATCAATGGACTGAATATTGAGGAAACTAAAAAAATGAGGACAAGAAAATTATTTGTTTAGCAATAGAGTGTATAGAATGGTTTTAGTTTTTCAATAACATCAAAATAAATTAACAATGTTACATAGTTGAACTGCAAAATTGTTAGATATTTTTTCATAATTTATTTATTGTTGTTATGCAAATGGTTTGTCGTTTCAAAACGGGGATCGGCCTGCCTGATCAGATCGTGGAGGCTTGGGGGCAACGCCCTCAAAAGTGAATTCTAATTTTCTTATATATGTTGAAGAGTTGTGTCAATTGAGTATATTGCCCATTTGCAGATACACCATAGATATTCATTCTATTTATAGCGATTTACGTGCATTGGAGTTTATTCAAATTCTCATATTTCCCGTAATTTTCTTAGATTCCTACAAAAATGATATTACATGAATGAAAAAACACATTGTAGTAGAGAAAATCTGAATAGTTTAAAGAAGTTTTCAACCATGCTGATGAATGAATGAAGTCCTTATCTGATGTTCTCTGTACGTGTAAAATATAATAGACAAATGACACTACGCGGAGAGAAGCATCCACGCGGCGCTGCACGAAGCGAGATCTGATCTCTGCGCTGCGCGAAGGCACTGCGCGGAGATCTCTCTCAGTGCACGCAAAGACATGCTCTACGCAGTGTCTCCGCATGGAGCGAAGGCATGCTCCGCACACTACAGAGAGAAGGGAAAGAAGGCGCCCATCCTCTCCGCGCATTGCGGAAAGAAGAGGAAGTAGGCGTTATGCGCAGTTGGAGTTGCTATGCTACAGTACAATCCTGGGTCATTTTTGGAAAGTCAAGAGATTCAGACCTTAATCACCATTAAATTTACAAGTAAATTACATTTATGAATACTTACAATTCATTGTACGAAGCTGACCTAAATCTTATTTTTATTATACATGTATTAATTCAAAAAATTAAAGATGGAAGTAATGTTCATGAATTTCTTTTCATTACTAATGAATCGGCTCTTTGTGTATTTTATTTCCCAATGGAGAGCATGTGGAAGTGGACAGTAAGAACCTCCTCTTATTATACTATCATCTTCTGATTGTGATCGTAATTTATTGCACATAAATTTATTTTTCAAAAGAATAGGCTCAAACAAACCCTTAATACCACACAGACCAACTGTTTCAATATCTTATGCTACAGGACCGATGTCACAAGTGAAACTAAACTGCAAACTTAGAACGAATTATAGAAACTAATGAAGAAATTAATGGAATTCTCAAACTTGACCAATGGCGACGGTTATAGATGGCAACACATTGCAAATAGTAGGTAACTCGTTATCTTCTCCATTATCTCCAAGTACAATGCAAGTTCCCTGCAGTCTGTTTACCAAAGATATCAAACTTTCCATTACTGTTCCTCGCTATCTTCTTATGGTTGTGGTGGGGAATTCGAAAATCGTAAAATATACGATTTAGTATTGAATTGTAACCTCCGTTAACCTGCTAGTGAAGATGAAATTGATGTTATGGGTTTGAAGCAGAGAGTTTGTGAAAGAAGTTGCCGTTTCTTCATTTTTTTTCTCTTCCTAAAAGTAAGCAGAGATTCAAAGTCAACAATTGTGGGTATGAGTAGGAGGAAGTCCATATTACCCGTCAACCTTCGATGAATAATGGAGAAGGGATATGGATAAGATGTGATAAAAAAAATGATTCACAAAAGAACAGTAAATGGTGGGTTGCCTCTTTTAAGATAATAAGGATTTATGAGTGAAAATTATGTATTAACAAGTATTTAAGTTTTTCAAATCAAAAATTAGGTATGAAGTTTATCTAACAAAAAATTGGGTATTAATTAAATTATTAATAATATTATAAATTGAACCCACTCTCATCCCAACCCTCACCACTCCAAAACCTAAAATATTTCTCATCCAGTCTCTCTTTCCTGTTCACCCTTCTCTTACTGGCCGCCTCCGAGGTAGTACTCATATGGTCGACACACCACGAAGATGATGGAAAAATCGCCATTGTGCGTTGAATCTTCTATCTTCTCTCATAGGGCCATCTACGAGGTGTCGTTCGTAGAGATGCTGCACGCAACAACAATAATGGAAAAAATCGCGGCAACGCCTGGACTGAAGCCCTAGATGACGTCGCTACGCGACAATATAGATTCACCAATGGAAGACGTTGTTGGTTTGTTGGTATGTTACGATCGGGCTTATTGGTTAGTTGGTATGTCGTGCCTAAACTGAAGCCCTAGATAGGTCGCTGCGCTGCAGCGTAGATTCATCAAAGATGATGTCACTATCTTGGTTGGTATGTCGGGATCTGATTTGTTGGGTTTGTTGGTATGCTGCGATCTGGTGCATGGTGACGCTGGTTCCGAGATCTGCTGTTCATTCGCTCGTCGCCACTCAAGGAACGATCTGGTGTACGATGGTGCTACGCGTGATTTGTGACGTGGTGGTATGCGTGCTTGGTTTGCGGTGGTAGTTTTTGTTGGCTTTGTTGCTTTTTGGAGTGGCAGTGGTTTTTTATGCTTTGGTGTTAGGATGGTTTTGTTGGCGATGGTGGTGACAGTGTTGTTGGTGGTTGATTTGGTGGCGTCGGTGATGGGGGGTGAAGAGTGTTCATGACCAACTATTTAGGAGTTCGTGACCAACTATTTGGTTGACTTGTGACCAAGTATTGGTGGTGGCAAACACGGAGTCGATGTTTATGAGAAATATGAAGCTTACCGTACTCATATACTTGAGTAAAATTTTGAATGGTCACTGAACTTTAACATGGTCACGACTTACTCACTGAACTTTAAATTGCTTCTTAATGGTCACTGAACTTTCTGCCGTTGCACTACATCCAACACTCACCAAATTTCGTTACCATCGAAGTTGACGTGGCAGACGAAAAACACACGTGGAAGATGACGGCCGTTAAAAAATGATAACTCAGCGAAAACATTGTTTCATTACTCATCCAACTTACATTTCGTCACATTTCACTCATCGAACTTCAAAATGATTCCCAATTGTCACTCATCTTTGAAATGTTGCATTCTATTCATCATCCGCATATTTTGTTCACTTCATTNTAGAAATATCATTTTTTTAATTCGAACGTTTACTATGCAAAAAAATATGTTTCAATTTGAAGCTGAAACTCTGAAATATAACTTGTTTAGGGACGTGTATTAGATTTTAAAGAAGTTTATGAAGTGTGCAAGTCGCGTTTCATATATGGTAAACGTTCCAATCAAACAAGTTATACTTCAGAGTTTTAGCTTCAGATTGAAACATATTTTTTTGCATAGTAAATGTTCGAATTAGAAAAATAATATTTCTAAAAGAATCATTGGGGACGCTTTATTGAGTTTTAAAGAAGTTGATGGGGCCGTGGAAGTCACGTTTCATATATGATGATTTTGGTGAGTTAAGTTTTGTTGAGTTGCAATTTATTTTTACATTTGTAACTTATCACGTGGAATTTTTTTGCGAACATTAAGAACGAAGGGAACAAAATATGCGGATGATGAATAGAATGCAACATTTCAAAGATGAGTGACCATTGGGAAGCATTTTGAAATTCGATGAGTGAACTGTGACAAAATGTAAGTTGGATGAGTAATGAAACAATGTTTTCACTGAGTTGTCATTTTTTAACGGCCGTCATCTTTCACGTGTGTTTTTCGTCCGCTACGTCAGCTTCGATGGTAACGGAATTTGGTGAGTGTTGGATGTGGTGCAACGACAGAAAGTTCAATGACCATTAAGAGGCCATTTGAAGTTCAGTGAGTAAGTCGTGACCATTTTAAAGTTCAGTGACCATTCAAACATTTTACTCCACATACATTGGCTCAGTATTTTTGAGTTTTCTTTATATCACATGGTGCACGAAACCTAATTTTGATTTGCGCAATCTAATTCTTGTCGTCTTTAACTATTTTATGCATGCAAAAGGAAAATGGAACTCGAACGGGGTTCAGTGACAGAGGAGAGTGATGCTGATTTACTTGAGAAGGCATGATGCATGGAAAACTTTGAAGATTGCAGAAGGTCCCGTAAATACTGATGCATATTTTCAAGAAATTACTTATTACATCTAGGCTTAATGAAGGCCTTGTAGCCCACTATATATCAGTATATTATATCTCTGTCTTCAAACCTGGGCAATTGAGCAAACCCGGGTAACAAATGTATTTGGTTGTCTTGGTCGACTATATGGGTCACGATGGCATTGAAATAGAATGCTCATGATATTAAACTAATGGGTTAAAAACACTGGTGTTCAATGAACTCTTAGCAGAATTTCATAGTTGTGACATACTTTATTTTGTTCTTTGGTCATTTAATTTAAACTTAGTTGAAATTTGGTCACTGATTTAAACATTTATTATTAGTCATTCCGTCTATGTCATTTAGTTTGACTAACATAAAAGCTGATGTGGCGATCTACAATTACTGGACTGCAATGTCACGTTTTCATTTAGTCAAACTAAAGGAAATGGACAAGGAAACAAATCGTAACAAAGTTGAGTGACCAATATGAAACAGAATAAGGCCTTAATAAGCAGTTGAATCATCTGCAGCCCAAAGATGCTCCTCTACATCTTAGAATGTAGATATCGAAGAAAGATAAAAATATGGGTTAATAAAAAGTTCCAACAGGGGAGAGATTTTGTAAATTGACAGATACGGTTTGAAAACTGAACCTGTTCCCACTTGTAGAACAACCACTGTTAAGTAAAGAAGCTTTCTTTGGCTTCTGCACTTCAAAGTCCCTTCTTTCTCTTAGGGGAAGCCTTTCCCACTCGTATACCAGCCAAAGTTAGGTAAAGAGGCTTTCTTTGGCTTCTGCACTTAAAAGTCCCTTCTTTCTCTTAGGGGAAGCCTAAGGCTAGCTAACTTTACCTTGCTTGACTTCTTGAATTGCCTTCATAAATCGAAGTGTTAGCCCGATGAATGAAAGGTTTGCCTTGTGTTGGAGATGAAATTTCACTTTTATCATATTCCAGTTTACACTTCCTCTCAACAGCAACAATAGACAAATATGGACTCTTTACTAGAGAGAGATAATATCTATCTTCTGTATGAACAATGCTAATTATTTTTCCATGATTGTGATTCTGTTTTGCATTATAGCTTATACTGGTTCTTTGTCAACTTAAGCAATGAAAATTGTCATGGAGGTATTATTCTTCTGGAATTACCCCTTATCATTCGCGCATATGTGGCACCAACTGCTCCTTCAGCATCATTTAATGAGTCAGAACAGGCAGTCGAGCATAGTATATTGACAAGGGTCGAGCATAGTATATCGACAAGGGCAGAAGCAATTAACTCGTATGTTCCTAAAAGAAGCAGAACACGCCTTGCTATTAGCACTAAGTGAAGGGAATTAGATTCTTCAGCCAAAACCCAGCTCATTCATCTTGTGTACGACCGACCTTATTCGACTACACCAGAAAAAATAAAAAGATTGAAATGCAGAAAAATCATATGAAAGTCGAGGAACCTAGCAAATGTATCCTTCTGGTAATGTTAAATTTTGGACGAGGTTGATGATAATGAGCTGAACTTGTGGCTTTGAGCTGCATTTTAGTTGGAATTTTGGATGGAGTAAATGTTACTTTTCCACTCAATTCAGAGGTCAAGAAGTAGAATGTTGAAATTCAGAAGATTAAGCTTTTTTCTTTCCCTCAGCTAAAATACAGAAGAAAATGAGTGCATATATCTGTTTCATTGATATGGCGTTTAACAATAAGGAAATGAATTCCAGAAAAAAAAAAACCATTCTCCAAAACACCTATTTAAACATACATCACAGCAGAGTAGACATGTTAGAGAGGTGGACGCTGAGTTGTGCTCGACCGGTTTTAAATTGGGCCTGTGCCGGACCATCCGTTGGGTCGACAAGGCTGATTGCCCCGGCTCGGCCCCTTATTCAGGCATGCTGGGATTTGAAACTCATCTGGGAAGGGCATGCTAATGGATTAAAGGATTAAACACCCTTGTTGTGCTGGATTAAACGAATTTATTTATGGAAATTAATGCTCTGTCTCAATTTTAGAAGAAAATTCTTATCAAGAAACAGCAAAATGCATTAAGATCGATCAAACAATATGGACCAAAATTCAAATCACTCCCAAAGCTAGTTTCTGCAGTTTTTTTTCCTGTACTACACCCTCAATTTGAACAAAGTTTCGAAGTATTTTTCTGACAAAAAAAGACGTAAGTTTCACCTCTTTTGGGGTAAGTTTCAGAATATTTTCAACTATCAGTTTTCCATTACTTTCTTGCGATTCACCACAGCCCTTTGAAAGAATTTCAAGTCCTTGCTCTTTTGAAAAAACTCAAACTGTAGAAGCTGATCCACCGTCGGCCGCTTCGCCGGCTTCCTCGAAAGGCATTTCACCAACACTTCTTCAAACTCCGGTGAGAATTGCCGCTCCTTTTTCTCTCTTTTCGCAGCCAGTGATTTCAACTTCTTCTCCAAGAATTTCATAACCCGTTTTCCCTTTCCTTTCACTTTCTCCTTATCAGTAATCTTTTTGAACCTTTCAATCGTGGGCAGTATTTTTTTCTTGGTTATTTCTTCAATCACCGCCTCAAACTCCGCCCTATTCCTCACCGGAAAATACCCATAAGCCAATTCCACTGCTGTAATTCCAACCAACCATATATCAGAATGAGGCTTATAATTGTATCTACTACTCCCTTCCGCCGAGAAATCCTCAGGCGCAGTACCCCATTTTGTTATATCCCTCAATGGTAGAGTCGAAGTTGAAGGCATTGCTATAGGGTTCCATCTTTCTTGATCATGTTCATACATGGAAGCTGCAAAACCCAGTTTAATGGTGACCCCATTCGAATTTCCATTCACAAAAATCTGGCCGGCGTCGATTTTTCCATGCACACGACGGCGTCCATGCAGATAAGAGAGACCCTTAAGGGTTTCTCGAAGAGCAATAGCAATGCAATCTTCCGGCAACCCACGTGTAAACCATTTACTCATTATGTACCGGAGTGATCCTTCAGACATATAGGCCATCGAAGCACATAAGAAGGTGTCATTCGAGTAGAATTTTTTCTTTATTTCAACTATATTTTCCGCACCAGGGATCGAAGAAATAACACTTCTTCTGATTTCTAGATCAAATGCACGAGTTCCTCTCCCAAAGGGGATTGCCTTCACAGAAACATACTGGGGCGCCTTTGCAAGTCTCTGCTCCGCCCGAAGATATCCCGGCAAGTACACAGCTTTGTAGACATTTGCATCAGAGGCAATACCAATTTTCTTCATGATCATGTATCTTTCTCGGCTGTGATCTACAGGAATTGTTTTTCCCGTAAGTTGTAAATGAGCCATGAAATGGGAATGAAGAATTGGCGCTTTTGTTGAGATTCTGAGTAGGGTTGTTCGTTTCTTGAAGAAAGAAGGAAACCTTGAAGGAAAAATTTCGAAGGGTGGGATAAGAATTTGAAGAAAAAAATTCAAAGGGGGAAATCAGAAGCGAGTCATTCGACCCTTTTATTTCAACACGTGTTTTTTGGGTTACCAATCAATCATTTCACTTATTGCTTCTTGAATTTAAATGAAACTACAAACCTAATGAAAATCAACACAAATTGGTATATTTATTATTTTACTTGTTATCTGCAGTGTTTTAATATCAAAATTAAACTGAACAGACTATTCGATCAAATTGATTTGCATTTAAATTACATAATTTCGTCCTTTAATTCTTACAATTAACAAGTGATTTTGGAGTTTGTAAGCCATTGTAGTTTGGTAGGAATTAAAATTAGATTTTTAGTATATTTTTTATAAAAGTTGATAAAATATATTGTTGAAAAGTTGTGGATTCCATGAAGTATGTGATTAAAATTAATTATGAACTTTGATTTAGATTAAAACCTAAATTATTATAACTTAACAGGGGCATAATTTCATGCTATAATTTTAGAAATAAAAATTGAGGATTGGACTGGGAAGAATTATGGAATAGGAATGTCAGCTTCTCACTTTCAGTTTTGTTTCCTTAATAAGTTAATAATGAAATGACTTATGATTAAATGGGTCAAAGTGTGTTTAACCACAATAAAATTCATGCAAAAACTTAATGCAAACATGTAAT